TGGACCTTTGAAGTAATCTCAAGATTTTAGAGTCGAGTTTATAACCTGCAGATGCTTGGAGCAGGCAACTTAATTATTTCTTATTATGTTTTGTATAAAATAAACAATAAAACAATTGTTTATAAATAGCTGGAATAGTAGAAGTTAAAGCAAATAGTAACCAAATATTCATATATTATACCTGCATGGGCCATAGGAGATAGCGAATATCACCTCTGATTGCATAATTCTCTTTGCTTCCTCCCGTAGTGAAAGAAAACAAGGATAATTTTTCCTAGAATTAGGAAAGTGTTGCTTGAATTAGACACGTTTAAAGAAGAGTGGCTGAATAGTTCCAAATATATTTGGGGGAACCTGGACAGCATGAATTTCTAGAGGAGGGGGTGTCCACTTTCTCCCCAGATATTCCAAGGACTGGCAATTCTGAGGCAATGATTGATGTCATACAATTACATCAATGGACTGAGTGTTTGGACTTTGGGCAGAGATGGGTTAAAAAGAAAATAAATTATGTGTCTGACACCCTTGTGTGAAGGAGGGTTGATCCTTTTTCTTCCTTATGCAACAGTTGGAAAACTGTGTCTGGAAAGCCCTCTGTTACTGTGAAAAATCTCTATTCCTGTCCTCTGCAGAAATTTTTTGTTAAAAACCCTCTTCAGACTTGGGCTTGCTTAACCACCCTGTTTCTTCTGCTCCTGTGATTATGGTATTAGCCAGGTGCTCAGCTTCTCTCATCTCAGTTTTATCTTCTGTAATCGAGCTAACATTTTTCCAGTGCCGTATCCCAAATGTCTCGAGCCTGTACTGGGACCATTGGGGATTATACCTATTTATGTCAGTGAGGTAGTTATTCAATGTAAAGAAATTTAAATATTTGAAATTGTTAAGAACATCTGAACTAACAGAGATTAACATGCACTGAAATAAATTGAAACTAATATTGACTGTTTTTTGGTGCTGCATTTGTTAGCAAATAAAATCTATCAGAGATAGTGGGCCAGCATTTTCAGGGATATTCTCAGTGCTGTGGGGAATTAAAAATGTATTAATTGACAATGAGAGATACTTCTCATGCCAAATTAAAAGCTACAGAGAGGAAAAGGTTCAGAGTAGATAGTTGTGACAGAGGCTCACACTCTGAGTATTTCAGATTTCTGATTAAGTTTTATAGTTCAAGTCCAACCTTTGACATCTAATCCCAGAACAGGACTTTGACACTTAGCATGTCAATCATTACAGGTAAGAGCAGTGCTATACTTCCAGGACTGCTGTAGTTATAGAAAATGGATTGATATAAACTGTTTCCAAGCTGTATGATACCACAGTATACTCTAATACTCCTAACAAATTATAAAGCCCACATAGTTGGCCAATAAAGGTCTTTAGGAGATAGTGTAAATCTTTAGGAAATGCTGCAGTCTCCTTATTTTCTTATTCTCCAGACTGTGTTAAGAAGCCAGAAAATCACTCAATATATTACCAAAGCATTATTTCAGAGCAGTGAAAAGTAAGAGCTCTAAACAGCTACAATGGAAAAGAATGAACAAGGACCCATAGAATATGGTGCAAGCCTTGACCTTAGTAAAACAATTCCAAAAACATACCTGAAGCAAACCATTATCATAAACCTTTGACAAATCGTAAGCAAAGCCTTGGACCAAGACTCTGTCCATCCAGCCCTTCAGGATTGCAGGCATGTTGAACCAAAACAAGGGAAACTAGGCAAAGAGAAATGACCTGGTTAGCACAGAGAGTCTGGGTCACCCTTAGGCCGGGTTTATAGGACAAATCCTGTCCTCTGAACCTGCTCAGATCCTGTATGTACCTTCTCCAGCTCTCTGTCAGTAGAGGTAGTAACTATGGCTGGCAAAAGAAGCCAAAGTGGTTTCTGTTTGTGGTAAACCACAGGGCCAGACCTGAGTATCTACAGCACACCAACATTGTGGTGCATGTGAGGGCTTCCATCCAGAATAAAGTTGTAATGTGTTGAATTGGTGGGTGCAATTTAATTCTGATTTAAGGCTATACAGAATCATGTCTCCTATGGCTGAAAGGCAAAAGAAACTACTATTGTATTAGCAGGATTGACATCTG